GGGAAAGCTTCAACTTCTCTCTATGATCTACATAATTCTAGTGCTCAAATCCGCTTGGACCAAGAACAAAGATCGTTCTCCTCGTCAAGGGCTACGTCTACGTACCAAAAGGAAGTGATTTCACCGAATAATCAAAGGAAGAATTTTTGGAGATCAAAGCTTTTGGGTTGGTTTTGGTGTTTTAGGGGTTTTCTACACTCCTAAGAGGTAGGGGTTATTCCTACTTTGGATTATTCTTACCTTAGGTGTTGCTAGACTAAGGGTGAAAATTATGTATATGCATATGTATTGTTATACATATATGTCTATGGGTATGAAAGTGAAAAAAAATTAGCATAGGAATAGCTTAGGCTAGCTTCTAGCTTGAATTTGGTATATGGAGGTTCCATGTGATTATTTTGTAACTTGGTGAAAACTTAAGGCATGCTATGTGTTTTATAAACTATGCCTTGGAATGTGTTATGTGAATACATGACTTGAATGACTATAAGATGTTTGATAAAATGCCCTAGTGAAATTGAGTGTGTTACTTGCATGATGCTATGTTATAACATGCTTGGGTGATTGTGAAATCATATGCTTAGGATATGGTTTTTGGATGAAGAGTGTTATTGACATATGCATGAAATGATATATTGAGCATAATGAGATATGGTAGTTATATACTTATGATACAATTGCATTGATGTATGAAAATGTTTATATGTTTGTCATAAGCATATTGAGCATTATTTTGTGTGCAATGGAACATCACATTGCATTTGCACGGAAGTGTCTCATTACATGAGTGAGTGCATGTTTGACGTCAATACCACACTTGGTGATTGACGGAAGGCTTGGGAGAGTTGGGTCGAGGACTTAGCTAAGCCGCTTGGTTGCATGATGAATTGGGTTGGGGTAGCAAGAAGAGGCAAGACGACCTCTCGGGTGCAAGACCCGGTGATTGGGCTACGCACTCCCTTGGCTCGGCCCATAAAGTGTGTGGGTGTATTCGGAACCCTCGGTCGAAGTCCGTAAATTTCGTGTGGGTTGGAGGCCCTTGGTGTAAGTCCATGAACATCCACCCCTATACAAGACCCTAGAGTGATTAACGCCATTGTGTGTAACATAAATGGTGGTTTCGACTAAATTCACACTTGCATGTGTTGGGGAGCCGGAGAGAGCTCGGAATAAAGTTGCATGGGTGAGTGTCACTTCATTCCATGGCATAGCATTGTTGCATTCCATCATAGGATGCATAAGTGTGAGAAATGTTTGGTTGTATGTTTGTGTGATGATTACATGAGCATGTGCATCTAGGGGAAGAGTAACCTCTATAGGTTTATCTCTATTGGGCGTTGTGCTCACCCTATACGGGAAACAATTTCAGGTACGGGACACGTTCCGGTGGATGGCTCTCATTCGGGGGCTCTTGGTTGAAGAAAAGTCGGGTTGTGGCTTTTGAATTTAGTTTTTGTAAAACTTTTGGTTAATTTCCATTTTGGCATGTAAAAGTATGGAAATAGTTGTATTAGAACTTGTATTGACTATATTTGGTATCAAATAGATGTTGTATAAGTTTTGGATAACCTTGGATTGGTTTGGATTGGTTTTGGAATGGATTGATTTGGGGTTGAAATCATACACAGAAATTTCAGACACTGCTTAGTGTTTGAGCCATAACTTTTTATTGTGACGTCCAAATGATCTGAAATTTTTACAGTAGGTAGTAGACACCTAGGGCTACAAAAGTGTTTTTATGAAATTTTCTCAATTCCACTTCTAAACAGGTCAAAACCGCACTGGAAGTTGCAGCAGAACAGAAACTGCATTTTCTGTTCGAACGTAAAGTGACGTTCGAATGGTGTGAGTTTTGAACAGCAAAACCAGCAGAGAACCAAATGTACTGGGAGCTACCTATTTTTCAAAACCAAGGGACGTTCGAATGTGAATAGTGTTGTTCGAACGGTGACTCTAAAACCGAAATTTTTCAAACTATGCACTAAGCTTCCAGGCTTGGATTTCTTTGATTTAAAGAACACCAATGGACTTGGATTTCTCTAGTTCCAAGGATACAAATGGACACTAATTGAGGTATATTGAGGCTTATTAGACCTTGGTGGATTTAAATGATAACTATTACATATATGCACTAATGTTAAAGTAACCTTGCATGTTTTGCTATAAATATGGATAATTGGACCCGGTGTGGTCAATGTTTACTTATAAATGGACCCGGTGCGGTCATTGTTTATATTGGGCCTCAGATGGGTCATGTGAGTTATGTTGCACAGGTTGGGTATTGGGTAGAGTTCCCTGTACAAAGGAGACTCTGCCCAAATTTTGTTAAGTTATGGACCTCGGTAAATGGGACATAACGGTGTGATGTCGAGTCACTCGGTATTTACGAGTATTCCGCGGGTTGATGGGTAATCAACGGACCCCCGGATTTTGGGGCGTCACAACAACTACCACCGCTGTCACTGCGGCCACCAACACCTTCTACTATCACCTGTCGCCACTATCGCTGCCTACCACCATCATAACCCACCATCGCCGCTAACCACAACCACCCATTATCGTCCACCAACCACCACTCACCTCCACAATCACCCACTACCCGCAACCAACAACCACCCACTACCCACCGTCGCCGCCACCACTAACACCCACCCACCATCGCCGACATAACCCATCATCGATATAAACCACCACCTTCCACCATTGCCACCAAACACCATCACCCACCACCCAAAACGATGAAAAACTCGCCCACCATCATCGCCAACCACCATTACCTGCCAACGACAATCACCACCACTCGTCACCCGCCACCCCACCCACACCCACACCCAGCACCCTGTCACTGTCAATCACGACCACCTCACCATGGCCACCAACCAATGCCACCCACTACCCATAACAGAGAAAAACTAGTCTACTACCACCCACCATCGTCGTCAACCACTATTACCCGAAATTCACCACCACCCACCAACCGTCATCCCCACCATTTGTAGCCAACTGCCACCATTCATCACCCCATAAATAGTAAAAACTACTAGCTTGCCACTCACCACATCACCCACTACCACCACAATCCATCGTCGCAAACCACCACCACTCACCACATAAAACAGCGAAAAACTAGCCAACCACCACCACTAATCATTGTCGCAAACCCAAAACAATAAAAAATTAGTCTACCACCACCACTCACCATCGCTACCAACAAACTTCATTCACCACCCAAAACAGAAAAAAAATGATCGATCATCCAAAATAGTAAAAAACTAACTCACCACTAAACATTGCCACCAACCACCACCCCACCACCACCACCCACCACCAAAATGGTAAAAACTAAACTATCACCCAAAATAGTAAAAAACTAATCTACAACCAAATATCGTCGCCACTCCCTACCACCCACACTCTCCCACCATTCCCACCACCACCAACCATTGTCGCCAACACCACCAACCACCATCGCTATCATCACTACCCACCACCTAAAATAGTAAATAATTAGCATATCACCCACCACCCACCACCATAATACACCACACACACCCACCCACCCACCATCCTTACCACCACCAACCACCACACATCACCCAAAATAGTAAAACACTAGTCTACCACCCACCACACATCATCCAAAATAGTAAAACACTAGTCTACCACCCACCACACATCACCCAAAATAGTAAAACACTAGTCTATCACCCACCATTATCACCCAACACCCAAAATAGTGAAAAATTAGTTCATCACCCAAAACAGTAAAAAACTAACCCATCACCAAACATCATCACCAACCACAACCATAATCTACCACACCCACCAACATCACCACCAACCATACCCACCCAACATCCCCACCACCACAAACCACCATCGCCACCCCCATCACCCAAAAAAAGTAAAAAACTAGCCAACTATTCATTATCTAAAAAGTAAAAAACTAACCCACCACCAAATATCGTCGCCAACCACCAACCACCACCATAATAATACCACTAACACCAACATCACCACCCCACCATCCCCATCACCACCTCCCAAAACAATAAAAAAAAACTAGTCTACCATCCACCACCCAAAATAGTAAAAAGCTAACCCACCACCAAACATTGCCGCCAACCACCACCACCAACATCCTCACCACCCACACCCATCCCCTATCCCCACCACCTAAAATAGTAAAAAAACTAGCCTACCACCCATCACCATCACTTGCCACCCACTACCACCACCCATCGCTACCAATCACCACCACACACCATCATTGTCAACAAACACCACCCACTATCACTGCAACTAGCACCGCTCACCACTCAAAATAGTAAAAAATTAGTCTATCCCCACCCACTATCCACTATCGTCATTAGGCCTGTAAAAATTTGACATGACAACATTAAGCGACACGAAGTAAGCGGGTTTGGGTGAATCCTTAACGGATTCAGGTGAGATCTTAACAGGTTCAGGTGGTAAACGGATTAATCTGTCATACACATTTAATAAACGGGTCGTGTTCGGGTGAGACCTGTCAACCCGTTTATCACCAATTTTATCCGTTTAAAAAAATTAATAAAATAATAAATTAATAATTATTTTTAAAAAATTAGTCAAAAATTAAAATATTATATATAAATATATGGTAAATGAGTCAAGAAAATCATACCCCAGAATCCAGAGGTTTGAGTTCTTGCCCCAGAATCCAGATCTTACAAATTCAGTAGAAATCATCAACTTAATTTCTCCATTTAAAGAATTTACTGATCACTTCAAGGAAAAAATTCTCAAGAACCCACCAATGAGAACTCCTTATTGCGAGATAATTCAATGCAAACAAGAAAAATATTACATACCTAATTGATAAAAGTAAGTTTAAATTGATAGAAACAACTTTTAACTGATCTTGAACTCCACTGAAACCTCTTACAAGGCATCGGCCAGATTTCCATCGGTCTCAAAAAGTTGCAAGTTCAAATGATTTGCAGACAGAACTGAAGCAA